CACAGTTTGACTTAAACCCAGGCAAGAAAAAATATACCAACAATCACAAGCAGTCAGGAAAATAAATCAAAATGAATTAATATTGTTTCAGTCATGGATATCCTGGCCGTGATTGTCTTCTTCGGGCGATCTGCGAAGGTTCCGAATTATCCACCTTGGGAACTGGGGTGTTTGGGGACATTGTTCATCTAGTTCTAACGTGAGAATGCCCGGTTGAACCGCACTTTTTCGCATTTAATTTAACAGTTGTTTGCTCATAGTCCATCTGCAAGTTTGAATGGCAACTTGACCGAAGTGTACCAAGAGGCGGAGCGCCAGGGCAAGAAGAAGGGCCGATGTAGGAAGTACCGGAAAACCTGCTCATTTAGTATCCTGAAAATGTTCACCTGGGTCGGGGACTTTCTCACCAAAACTGGCTTACCTAATAAAGGCTCCAGTTAAGTTCAGCGCTTGTTCTGTACCCATCCTAAGTCCTAAACACTAATAAACACTGTTTCAAAGTGGAACTGAGCAAATTCTTCGGTTGATGCGTGGAAGATTTGCAGTCTTAAACCTTGCCGAGGCAAGTAAATGCAAGAAGAGAGCCATTTGTACTCAAATCTAGTACAAAATGAAACCCATTGAAACCCTGACTGTTTCTCGGGAATTAAACGCACCTGTCGCCTGAGGATGGCTTGGGCCCGTGTCGAGCCATAATGACTTCATCAACTGAGTTCGCTTTGTTTTCCCAAGATGTGCCGCCTCGATGAGCCGACGTGTTGAGACAGAGTATTCGCGTTTTCCGTGCACCCACCTGCCCAAACTTGATTTTTTATATTCATATTTATGGGCCCGTGCTGGCTTAACTTTAAAACCAGGCGAATAAGTAAAACTAGATGAGTATTCCCGCAGGAAACAAGAATGGTTAACCGACTTTGTTCTCACATTTGCTTCAGGTTCCTCAACATTCACAAGATTTTTTAAAACTTGAACTTGCTCTGAAAACGTGAAATTTATTACGATTTTTATCGCACGGGCCACATTAATTTGCCCACATTGGCGGTCGATGGACGCAACTGCGGTTCTCCTTTTAGAAATTCGCCTCGTCCAAACGAACGCAAGTAGCAACTTGAATTTTTTCCGTCTTCAGAACACACTTGACTCTAAAGATGTTGAGAGTTTCATAAAATTAGGCCAAAATCCTAATTTTTGCCAGCCTTGTAAATACCGACCTCAATGTGGACGTTTACGTCCGATTGTGTTCTCGCCTTTAAAACTTAGAATCTTCCAATCTAAAGCAAGAAACACTTTGGCATTTTCACCCATCTTTAGAAGACACTACACTCTACAGATTATGGGAGTTTCATAAAAATCAAATGGGATCCTGATTTTTGCTTGCTTAGTAAATATCGGTGTCAAGATAGTTGACTTTAGCCAATTGCGCTCTGTCCTTTAAACATTTGCATTTTCCAAACTAAGGCATGTAGTCATTTCGAATTATCACCAGCTTTAGAAGAGACTTGACCCCAAATTTACGGAGGGTCTCATAAAAATGGCCCAGAATGCGGATTTTTGCCAGCTTAGTGAATACGGATCTAAAAATTGGTGGTTTTAGTCAATGGCACTATTTCCTTAAAAATTATCATCTTCCAAACTAAAGCAAGTAACAACTTGATATTTTCACACATCTTTAGAAGACAGTAGACGCTACAGATGGTGATAGTTTTATAAAAATCGACTTGAATCCTGATTTTTGCCGGCTTAGTAAATACCGGTGTCAACATTTTAACCAATAGCGCTCTCTTCAATAAACATTTTCATCTGCCAAAGTAAAGCAGGAAGCAATTTGATGTTTTTACCCTGATTGAGAAGACACTTTACTCTACACATCCTGAGGGTTTAGTAAAAATAAGCCACAGCCCTTAATTTGCCAGCTTAGCAAATACTGATCTCAATGTAGATGTTTTTGCGCGATTGTGCTCTCTTCTCAAAAAATTCGAATCTTCCAAACTAAAGCCACAAACATTTTGATATATTCACCCATCCTTAGAAGACACTTGAGCCTACACATGCTGAAAGTTTTATATCAATGACCTAGAATCCTGATTTTTACCGACTTGGTAAATAGAGCAGCAGATCGTACAGCAAAAATCGTTTATTTTTCCCAATGGCGCTCTCCCTCCCAAAAACGGAAGCAAGTAGCAACTTGACATTTTTCACTCCGCAAAAAACACTTAGTTCGGAACACGGCAAAAATTTCACAAAAATCGCCCTAAATCCTGACGTTTGCCGGTTCAATAAATATTGCTCTCAAATTGAAACTTTTTACTCAACTGTATTCTCTCTTTTACAAATTCGGCTCGTCTTAACTTAAAAAAACTTCAGCTTAACCCAGTTAATGATACACGCACTTTTAGAATCCCTAGTGTGAATTTGACTGTTGTATTAAAAAACCCCAACCCTCCTGATTTAATAAAGAATATTAATATTTAAAAAAATGCATTTTATTGCATTTTTGGTTTAATATTAAAACACATTCTCACGCTCGTATAAATTAAATAAATATTTATTGGGAATTGTTAATCAGGGTTCTCAACATTCGGCCGGACATTTTATGGATTTATGACTGTTTGGGCGAATAGAATGTACGTTTATTATATTTTATCCATAACTCACTGAAGGAAAATATTATGTCGATTTTGTCCGGGTGTTCGATTCATTATGGTTTCGGCTGAATTAATTTAGATGATTTATCGATTATTATACAATTTGCTGAACAAATTTTCAATATTTTCTTGCGCCAAAATCATTAATTACTGTACATTTGCTCAGTTCTAGTACAATTCAACGCAAGTGGCCACTCCTTTAAAGGTGCGTGTGGTCCTTAATATAAAACGTTCAGCCATAACAAATTGCAAATATGCAGATTGCATTATTCATAATGGGATTTTAATCAAGGAAATTTGATGATCCGGAGGCGTACAATTACGGCCAAAGATCATCATTAAGAAGCCCAAGATATTGTAATTACTCAAAACTTTGCCTCGTTTCGTTGATATCAATCTTTCGGTAGTCTACACTTTGTAGAATAATTTTTCAAGTGGATTTTCTAATTGCTCTGTTGATACTTGGGGCTCATCATTAGCCAGATCAAATCATAGACAATTTCCAACAAATTAAACCATGCAATTTCGTTTTAATGATGGAATAATTTCAACAAAATGGGCCATTTAGGTTCTAATCTGGCGCACAAATCAACATAAATCCATTGAAAGTTTCAAATAATTAAATGTAAATTTATACTGTAGGTTTTCAGAGGAACTCGCTTTGAGAACATCAAACCATCACCAACAGAGCATATCTGACTATTTATTCAGAATTTCAATTTCTTTGGTGTTTTTTTATTGGGATTGGACACAAGTCTGGAAGTGTTGGTGGTCAGGTTTAGGGTGTTTAGCGATGGACAAGGAAGATGATTCATCAGTGCGATTCCTGATATTTAAGTTAACAAGTTCGCCAAATCTGCCCAAACTAAACCAATTTAAGTCTAATTTTTAGGCAAAATTGCCCAAAAAAAGATTTTGGGCAATTTTGAAGTTTTGAATGTTTTCCCTGCCAGTAAAAACACTTTCCCAATGTCGATTCCTCCATTTCGCTCTGCAAACACCAGCAGTGCGTTTAGTTAATTAAAAGTCATCAGCTTTTCGATTAGACGTGGAAACTGTTTCCTTAACGGTGTTTCCGCGACTTCAGAAAGAACTTCAAGCCGATTAAGCAATGCATTAAGTGCGCAACTAAAATGTGGAATATTATATTTAATTCAGTTGTGTTGCAGTTGGAAAAACAGAGAAACGGCCCCCGTTCATATTCATTGCCTGCAAAATGGGAAATCCAATTATGTTGAGCTGTTCTACTAGCACGAAACGGGCCTCGATCAGATTTCACAGCAGTAATTTTGCAATATATACGGAAAACCCGCTTTTCTTGAGGTCCCGAGGAAAACAGGGCTGGTGGAAAATTGCCCCAGCTGTAATTAATATCCGAACAATAACTGGCAGGTAAATGCAGTTTGGAGGTCCATAATTGCAAAACTGACTTGCTAGAAACATGATGTTACTATTTGCGCTGCTGATGTTTTCCTCGCCCGATGTAGTTCTTGCTGATTGGGACAAAGTGTATAAAACCACAATAGAGTTAAGAACTGTATTAAGTAAAGTTATCTGGCCGTTCAATGAAAATAATCCCAAAACGCTTCAAATTCAGTGTGGATAAATAAATAATTCTGCCCAAGGAAAACCGGGCTTCAGCTAAATTTGACACCTCTTCGTATACACACCAGTCCGCTTATAATATAAATCCCAGGTTTCCCCCGTAGGTTTCTGCAGTGAATTTTATTGGACAGGTAAAAGATAACTTTGTAAATAATTTAAAATCAACCGTGCCAACGTCAGTCATTTTGGGAAGTCGAAAAGTTTACCCGTTCCGACAATAAAATACAAATTCATGTCCGGTACCTGACTGGAAAGAACATGGAAAGCGCGTTTAGTCTCAGCGTTTTCCGACGTTGTTAAATAGTTTATATTGATTATTTCGATTAAAGAATGCTCGCCTTGTATTCGATGTACAACAATTCACTGACGAGCGAACTATTTTGCGCTTAAAACTTGATT